GGCCGTGCGTGTCCGCCTGGAGGACCGCTTCAACAGCGTCGCGGCCGAGCCGCCGGCCGCCGCGCGCGGCCCGGAGCCCCCCGAGCCGGGCGTGGCGCTCAACAAGTGCGTGCGGACGGACGCGAAGGGCCCATGGGCCGGGGGAGGCGTGGCGGACGGTAGGGTCGGAGCCGGCACCCTGCAGGGCTGGGCGGAGTTGAGGGAACCCCAGTCGGGAAGTCACCACCTCGAGGTTCCAAGAGCCCTACTGGGTCTAGGGACTGAGTGGAAAGTTGTGTCCTGTGCGAGTACGGCCTCCAAGTACTGAACACACATGCCCACGCGGCGCCTTTTGTAGTGAGAGCCCTCTGTCTGGGTCTGTGCACAAAAGAGTGAGGAAAGTTGAGACCATTGTCTCCAAATTATCCTCTTGAATGTTCCATAGGGTGTGAGGTGACACTGCCTCCTCCCCACGCGGAAGAGAGGAGCGATGGCCTTTTCCGCACTACCCTGGGTGATAGTTGTAGAGGGATTTCCGTGATGAGCGGTGTGTATTGTAAAGTTGAGCCACTGCCCAACGAATCTAACCATGGACAGCATCTCAGGCATCATTCCTCACGGTGTGTGGGTTTTCTTTTGTCTTGGCAGTTTGGTAACCCTTATTCGACATCCATCTGAGTTGATGAATGTTCCTCTTCATCAGCAACAAAACAAATGTACAACATTAGTGAAAAATAAAACAGCTGCTGCGACTACTGCTTTGCAGTTCACGTACCCACTGTTTACGACAAATGCTTGCTCTACTGGTGGAAATTCTAATCTTTCACAAACGCAGGTAGGGAAAATGATTTGTTCTTTAATATTAAATGGTTAAATTTTAACATAGTGCCTAGGGATTATTTTTTCTCTTTTAATAAGCTTAATCATCTTTTAAAATTTGAGTATTTGCCTGGTTTGGAACTATTTTAAAATTCTCAAGGCACCTAAAGTCTTCAAGTTGCATATTAATAGCTTTGATGTTACTTCTGTTAAGTGTATTTTATTTGTGTAGTAAAAAAATGAAACCACATATTGATAAAATTCATGTGGCTTCATTTTTTCCCAGAGTTCTGGTAACTCATGTTCTATACTTGAAGCTGCCAAGCACCAGGATATTGGATTGCCTAGAGCATTTTCTTTCTGTTATCAGCAAGAAATTGAATCTACTAAACAGACCTTAGGTAGTAGGAACAAAGCTTTGCCGGAGCAGGTTTGGATCAAAGTGGGAGGTAAGTGATGTGGGAGGCAGGAGGGTGGGGGCCCTTTCTCCTCCTGGAGGGAGAGGTGGTGTCTACACTTAAACCCCCCTTGGGAGTGAGTGTGTATCTCAGGTCCATCCCCCAGTCATCTCAATCTGAATGTTTTTCCAAATCTCAAATGTCATAATTAACCTCGATATGGAAATGTTGAGTTTGAGGGCTTTTCCTTAACAGTAAAATGATAGACATATACTTTTTCAGAAGTTACTGAGAGTACTTCATAGTTCTATATTCCATTCCTGAGGCAGAAGCCTGAAATCTGCTGAAAGCTTTGGAGAAGCAAATAGTTAATGGTTTGCTCTGCAGAGGGGCTGGGAGTGAAATAGGTGAGCGAGGAAGTTTTGGAAATAGACTGCTGAAGGCAAGTTTTTAACTTCAAAGTTAAGTCTAAATCCTCCCTGGAAAACAACTGCTTTTCAAGTTACCCCCCAAAACAGCTTAGCTTACACTCAGCTTTTCAAGAGCTGAAGATGGAGGGCTGGGGCACTGCTGCTTTCTCCTCTGTCAGTCATTAGGTTTCCTTTTCTTCCTAGGACGTGTTTGTTAGTATCTCTAAGGCATAGATGAGGATTAAAATAGTCCCCTTCAACTCAGGTTGAAGAATAAAATATCACCAAAGTATTGATTTTTGTCTCTCTATCCCCCTGAAAATATTATCATCATTCCAAAAATTTGCATTAAGCAGTTCTTCTTACTATAGAGAATTTGGCTTTGTCTGGCATGTGAGAGTGATGTCACCACATCTACTAAATATGATGTGTGCACATATAGTGTGGTGTCAGTTGTTGCCAACCGTATAGCACGAAAGCTACAGTGCTAGTTCTTACTCCTTTTGTGAGGAGAATCACTTCTAGGTGAGGGCATATTTAATCTTAAGCCACTTTAATTTTGTTCTCTGTTCTGAGCACTGCAGTTAAAATATTAGTTGTCATATTAGAATAATTGTACCTAAAGAAAATATTTTTTGAAGAAAATGTTGCCAGCTTTTTTGTGTGTTGTGAATTTCCCAGGAAGTGTACAACTTCTCTGTTTCTCTGTTCATAGATAACAACACTTGTAGACTAAAAAGGAGAACTTTCGATAAGGTTCTATTGATTGTACAACCCTTAGAAGGAATATTTTAATCTGATTATAGATGCATGTCCAGTTTGTGGGAGGGAACCAGGCTTGGAGTGTAGTGTTCACTGCTCACACTGAATAACTGGTTGTACAGATTTTTGCAGTTTAATGTTGTGCTTCTTACCTGATAACATTTAAATCTTGGATTGAAAATGCCAAAAACTATATTCAACATTAATTGGGATAAGTTAAGAGTAAAAAATTAAAATACTACTTTTTTCTTCTTTTGCAAAGAAGAAGCGCTATGTAAACAAGCAATAAATAAGAGGAATCGGAGTAGAATACGTCAGTTGGACACAAACGTAGAACGAAGAGCCCTTGGAGAGATTCAGAATGTGGGCGAAGGCTCCACAGCCGCACAGGGGGCTTGGCAGTCCTCGGAGTCCTCACAGTCGAACCTGGGGGAGCAGGCCCAGAGCGGGCCCCAGGGAGGAAGGTCACAGCGTAGGGAGAGGCATAACCGAATGGAGAGAGATAGAAGGTAATGCGTGTGATTGTTAGGCCGGCTTCTACACAGTTACCTCAGATAGGTGTGTTTGTTACAGATGAAACAATAGCCGTTTCTGTGTTTAAAGGGAGGAAAAAAAGGCAGGAGTACCATTGACTTTATTTTGCTGGGAGATCAGGGATTCCCATGACTGCCCCTGAGTCCAATGACTCACTAGGAGGATGTGCAGGACTCAGCATGGAGTCACAGTCATGTCGGTGCTATGGAGATAAACCATCCAGAGCAGAACCAGCATGGGCACATGGGGAGAAGCCAGGACACCAAACACAGGTGTCCTAGTGCCCTCCCTGAGGATCTCACAGGCTTGCTTGGATCCCAGCAGTGTATTTGGGCAACATGGGCGAGAGGTTGCCAACCAGGAAGCAGATGTTCAGTGTGAGCTGTTTTGTTCGTGTAGTTTAGATCCCAGAAGCTGCTCTTTTTGCTAGTCTCCCAAGGAAATCTGAATCCCACATGCCAGTCACAGGCCAGCCTGGTACGTGCTCAGGACATTCTGTTAGTTCCTATGCACCAGGTAACTTAATTTTCAAGTTTTGCTTGGTTCTTTTAAGAATGTTGGGAAGGAGGAGATTAAAACTTAAGTATATTGTTTGGAGATTTTATTTGTTCTACGTGGAATCACATGGCAGTTAAATTTTCACTATTACAGATGGATTTTTACATAATGTTTCCCTAATATATCATTAATTAGTTTAGTCATTTACCAAATACTGTGTACCAATATCTACTGTAGGCCCACGAAATAAAAAGCAGTGAGTGAGACAGATAACTTGCCTTTGAAGCTCCAGTGTTGAATGTTGAGCTAAGGCAGTTTCTTTCTTTTTAAAGGAATGTATTAAAGCTAGCTAGAAATCTTCCTTAGAATACATGTACACACATACTCTGTAACTGAAGGACTTCTCTAAAGTCAGCATGAATTATAAAGGCATTTTACCACTTTGACATTTATGTAATGAACATTTATTGAGTAGCTGCTATATTAAAAGCCTTATACCCTATGGTGACAGTTTAAAAGTTTGACTTCTAACTCTACTATATAGATTTGTGGTTAGATTAAATAAGCGACATGTGAATAGTATTTGGCTAAGTGCATAGAAGTCCAAGAAGGTCTAGTCATCTTTTCTTACATTGTAAAATCTCTGGTTAGAATTCTAAGCATTCAGGTGTGAAGATGAGTAATGAGGGCCGTAGTCACCCTGTGTCAATTCTGCATGTCCTACGTCAAAGTTAAAAAGTAGTCCAGTAGTAAGACTCAAGTTGTGATTTCAGTTACCTAAAAAGACCTGGTTCCAGGTATTAACAGAGTGGTGGTCTGTGATCCTTTCTGAGTCAGGGCCCCTCAGAGCTTGTGAAAGCTGTGCTTGAGTCACTGATACTGTGTCTAGCATGTGGGGGGCAGATAACAGTTTGTTAAGTGAACTGATCTGCGCACAAAAAGCACAGGCACAAAATGTTGCTTCCAGTTTCAAAGGGTTTGGGGCCATCCCTGCTTTAGAGGTTGGAAGCCTGTCTGGAGCAGTGAATGGGAAGCTCCAGGTACTATGTGTGTGGGGGATGCTGGGGCTGCCAAGGGCATCTGGGTGCTCAAATGACTCGAGGCAGTAATCCCTGCCCCAGATAGGAGGGCCCTGGCAGAGTGTTTGCTCCCTCACCCGTGAAGGCAGGCGCGTCCGAGGCACACAGTGACCCGGCTCTGAAGCCGTTCCTTCTGGTAATACAATGAAACTCTGCCTTTTACATGTTTGCCTGGCTTCAGCTTCTCTATATGATTACTTTGGGTTTTGCCTGTAGGCGCAGAATCCGCATTTGTTGTGATGAGTTGAATCTTTTAGTCCCATTCTGCAATGCCGAGACTGATAAGGCAACCACTCTGCAGTGGACCACAGCATTCCTGAAGTATATTCAGGAAAGACATGGAGATTCTCTTAAAAAGGTTAGTATTCAATTAGGCCAGGTAGCTTTTCAGAATTTTATAAATTTTACTTATCGATGTTCCTGTTTTTCCTTTTTTCCCTAAGGATAATCAAACTGTCCTTTGTTTACTAGAATCTCATGTCAAATACTAAGTCCAGTATGAATGGAGCTCTGCTCATAATGATATAACTTGTCACTTACTAAAGAAGGATTTATTTATTACACTGCAGATTACAAGTGACTGTGCAGTGTCCCTTGCTAAATAGCAAAGTGAGCACCTGCTCTTATAGTGCACTGTAATGGGGCCTGAAGGGCATGTAGGGTATGATTTTTGCCTTCAGAAAACCGTGAAAGGGATAAAAGCAAGAATTAAAAAACAAGAAAATAAATGTCCAATAATCTGGACCTCATACTCCTTCAGAAGGCAAATGAGACGCATCCCTGTGGGCTGGGTGGTTGCGGGCAGGGGCTTTGGTGCCTGTGTTTCCTGGTTCCTCAGGACAGCTGACTGCCACATCACAGGTGTGACTGGTGGTGCCCAGCTTTGTTCTGCCAGAGCTGGTGCTTGGCTTGAGTGACAGTTGGGTCAGCCCTTGGTGGTTCAGAAGAGGAGTATCAGTCATGGGAACGGTTCTGTATTGCCTCAGGACCTCAGATCCAGGTGCTGGCCTCAGAATTCGATGGTCAGGGCAAGTGGCTCTTGGTCCCTCCAGGAATGGTTATGCCTTTAGTGAAACAAACCTACAGGGTCCTGACTTTGCACCTTGTCCAAGCTGTGAGGAAATTACTGCTGGTGACTCCAGTGGGAGTCTGGCCAGAGAATGCACTGAGACTGGTCCAGGAGATGGGAAACCGCTTTAGAAAGGGCTCCTGTGTCTAGGTCGTGGTGGGTCCCAAGAGAGTCCCCTGACCCCCACCCCCACCGTGCCGGACGCCCTTCTCTCTTCAGAGTTTGTTGTCCTATCTGTGCCCCTTTTCTGTGTTCATGTGACACTGCTTGTGAGTTACATAATTTCATAAGTTCCTTATTCATTATACGGTTAATTTCATTTTAAAGCAAAATTATGTTAATTCTAGTTAGATCATTTTGGTTATTTATAGTTACTTTTTAACATTATTTAATAGAGATAGACTGTTGGTTTTAATAAAATAAAGCATTTATATTTTAAAAAGTGATTTAATGTTTGACTTTGTGTGCTTGTCAATAGTAAATTATTATTGATTAATTCATTCAAATACAAAGGCATTTATAATTTTTTTGTTTTGTTTAGCAGGCCCTGGCCAGGTTTGAACCTGCCAGCATTTATGACTTTTGAAGAAAACTTTTGTTAACTATACTGAAAGATTAATGAGATTAAAAACTTAGGAGTGTTATATTTTATGTATTTTCCTGGATATTTCTGGAATTTACATTGAATTTATGAATCGTTTCTGTGTCATATCATTAGAGTGCAAGATAGACTGAAGCCGAGTTGTTAGCAGTCCAGTGGGGGAGTTAGAATGCAGATAGCCTCAGCACTGTGCTCAGTTGTTTCCTTAGTGACTTTCCTCTTACTTGCGTGTATACTTTGGTTCTTAAACGTTCAATGAATGAGAGCTGAGACATTTCTCTAGTACACATTGTACTTAGTGGATCTTTTCTGGTGAAAGCAGCCACCTGCTGAAGGTGCTGGGGGTCTTGGACAAGACAGACATTGTTTGCCTAGAGGGAGACTGTCCATAAGAAAAGGAGAACGCAGGGCCTCCAGGTGGGAGACACTGTGCTGTGAGCCAGTGGCTTGCAGAGGGGATGCTTTGGATCTGGTGGTCTCCAGAGGCTGCTGAGCTGAAGCCCAAATGTCAACATTTGGGACCTGAGCTGGCATCACAGGCCCCAGGGCAGGACACTACCCCCACGTCTGAGGAGCATCCCTGCCTGCCAGCCAGCACTGGGGTCCAGGCTTCTTCTCAGGGAGCACTGGACTAGGAGGCAGAGGTCGGGTGGGCAGGAGGAAAGCGAAAGATCAGCACAGCTAGAGTGAGCAAAGGGATAGGCTTCTATGTTTGTGGTGGTGCCAGCCATGGGATGTGGTGGGAAAGAGATATTGGGGTGATGCAGGGCTTGGGTGGATTGGGCAGTTGGCTGAGAGGGGAGATGGAGGAGCTAGGTGGGCAGGATGGGCTCAGCCTTCTGGGAGGCACCGGGTAGTGGTGTTGAGAAGGTGGTGGACAGACGGGTTGGAGGAGGGGAGCCGGCTATCAGCAAGTCAGTGATTCACTGTCTCCTTTCTAATGCACCTGGTGAGTGCATGAGTACCTATGCAGCCGGCACTGACCTTGGCAGGTAACATCTACCATACTTTAGTGAACACATTTTCAAAGACACATGGGAACATTCGTCCCCAAATATTTCCCCACACGTTGTGCCCTATCATGCCTCACCACACTGAGTTCTCATGTCCCCTCATGCCCAATGTGTACTTAGATTTCCTAAGATGTTCTAAAAGTGACTTTTGTAGTAGATCTTTTTTATCCCAGTCTAGCACCCAGCCATGGGTTGTATGCTGCATTTGATTATGACTTTTGGGTTCTCAGCCAGGACAGTTTCACCTGCTCAAGTTATTTATTACAGCATTGATGTTTTAACAAGGTCAGATCAGTTGTCTACATGCTCTGCCTTCTGGGTTTGGATGACTAGTTACAGTAATTTTAAATTTGGGTGTGATTTCTAACTTAAAAAAGAGTTGCAAGAATAGTACAAAGAGCTCCTTGTGTACGTGCCCAGCTTTGCCCAGTTGCCATGTATTAGGATTTACCCCATTCTCCATCATCCCCACCTCGCTTTGTGCCGTTCAAGAAGCTGCAGGCCTCATGCCTCTTTGTGTCTTAAGTATTTAAATGTTCACTTTTGAACAATAAGTTCTCACACGTTATTTTACATCACCAGAACACAATGATCAAAATCAGAAAATTTAGCATTGATTGATGTAATGCTCTTGATTTCACTCAGATTTTGCCTGTTGTCCCAATAATATCCTCTGTGGCTTTGCTTCCCAGTTGGGATCCGGTTCAGGGTTGCTGGTGACTTATCCCAAGATGCTGGGCTCCATTTACGACCACAAACCTCAGCTGGGCTCCCTCCCTCCGTCCAAGTCACCAGCAGTCAACCAAGTTCTCCCCTCTTTCCGCCATTCCTCTTGTCACGGAGATTGAGTTTTCATGTTCTATCTGAAGTCAGGCTCTGTCTCTCCCCACTAGCTTCTCCTGCAGGGATGCTGTGATTTCTTCAGTATTCTCCTGTAAGAACCCTCTGAGCCCTGCTTATTGGTGACCACCCTTTTTTCCATTCTCCTTAGCCGCCAGGCCCCAGAGTGCTCTGTACTTGTCTCATTTTTCTGTCTGCTCTTGGACACACTCCCAGCTTGGTGATCTAGTCCCTGTGATCTCTCAGCGGCCGAGCACATCCCCTCTCTTCCACCCCAGTTTCCCCTGCCCCCCCCATGCCTCTGCCCCACCTCACTGGGTATATCTTTCTTTCTTCCCACATCTCAATAATGGGGTGCCTGTGGTCCTGGAGCTGAGTGAGGGAGCTGGAGAGACTCCCCGGTCGGCTGCAGCATCCATTGATCCATGTTTGAGCAGTTGCTTCCCAAAAGCCAGACCCCCATGGGGCAGGAACGCCAGCTCGTTGGCTCCCAGGATAGGGAAAATAGGTTGCCCAGCTTGGGCAAGGCACAGGATGGGAACCCCCTTCCTGCAGAGACCTGTGGCCAGGCCTCTTGTGCCATCTTTACCTATAGAGCTTCTGAGGGTCCCCAGTGCTGTCGCTGCACCCTCTGGTCAGCTGAGTCAACTGAGTTCATGTTCTGCTTTGCACCTCCAGAGATGTGATTCTCATGAACAGACCTTATGTCTTCTGTGCTCTCCCAGCACGGGGAGCATTTAATTGTACACTTGATAATCATATTCACGTCAAGAGACCCAGACCTGAGGACAAGTATTGTGCATCCAGCACACAGAATCCAACACTATGGCCTAGATCGGGTTGTCAAGTGCTGTGACTTACTGAGGAGCACCTGGCAGATGGGTGCTCTTGGGAAACAGGCACTTTGCTGCTGCTGCCTTCACGGGCCCCAGAAGCTGACTGTCTCTGAGGATGTTAGAGCCAGCATGGCAACTCAAGAATCTGGTCCAGAACCATGACCTCCCTCCCAGAGTGAGGAGGGGCTGTCGGCAGCCCCGTCTAATGTATGGGAAGGTAGAGAGGGTCACAGCTGCAGTGGATGCCATCCCCTCCACTGCCCGCTGTGAGTACAGCTTGAGTTAGGGATGGGGCCGTTGGCGTAATTGCTGCTCACTCAAGTGTCCTCCTGAGGGTAGGGCTGGGCAGTGGAGAACTATCCGAATCCTTGCTTTTTACAGGATTTTTACTCTTGAACCTACTGCTGAAGAACATCCTTCTGCTGCTGAGCGGGCAGGATGAACCAAAGTAGTGTTGTAAGGTTTTGAAAATAAAATGTCTTTAAAAAAAAAGTCGTCCTTTTCTCTTTGTCCTAATGAGCTCACACCTGGTTTCCCTGTGGCCGTCCTGGGCTCCTTCATAAGCTGTCATGTTCTCTTAGCCAGGCGACGGGCTGTGCTCTGTGTCCTCCTGAGATCAGTGAGGGGCTTGTTGATTTCTCTGTTGGGTTTTTGCAGGGGGCTTGGTGGTGGTTTTATATTGTAATTTGCTTTTATCTTTATTATTTTAATTTTTTATTTCAGACTAATTTGAGGGTCCGAAGAATTCGGTTATAATGTTTGCATGTTTTTATTTTGAAGCCTTATTTCTATTTCCCTCTTTCAAGTTTTATTTTTTCTATGTCTTGAAAATTTACTTCATTTATTTTCAGTCTTTTAAATTTTCTAATCAATGTGCTTAATGTAAATTTGTCTGAGTGCTTTTTTTTTTTCTTTATTTTGAGACAGAGTCTCATGCTGTTGCCTTGGGTAGAGTGCTATAGTACCGTATCTCACAACTTTTGGGCTCAAACTGTCCTCTTGCCTCAGTTTTTCTATTGTTTTAGTAGAGAGGGGGTGTCGTTTTTTGCTCAGGATGGTCTTGAACTCGTGAGCTCAAGCAATCCTCCCACCTCGGCCTCCTAGAATGCTAGGATTATAGGTGTGAGCCACTACCTGGCCACAGTGCCTTTTTTTTTTTTTAAGGCAAAGTCAGTCACCCAGGCTGGTGTGCAGTGGTTTCATCACAGTTCACGACAGCCTTGAACTCCTGGGTTTAAGTGATATTCCTACCTCAGCCTCCAAAGTAGCTGGGACTACAGGCGCCCTACTGTACCAAGCTAATTTTTATATTTTCTGTAGAGATGGAGTCTCTCTCTATTGCCCAGTCAGGTCCCGAACACCTGAGCTTAGTTTTTAAGTTTGTTGAGGCCTTCTTCTGTTGTGATAGTAAGGCCCATCTGTTGCCTATGGTGAATGTATCTTGTTCTGTAAGCCTGTCTTTCTCTTCCTCAGTAAACTTCCACGCATGTAGAGACAGAGTCTTAGTTTGTCGCCCTCGGTAGAGTGCTGTGGTATCAGAGCTCATAGCAACCTCCAGCTCTTGGGCTTAGGGGATTCTCTTGCTTCAGCCTCCCGAGTAGCTGGGACCACAGGTGCCCGCCACAATACCCAGCTTTTTTTTTGTTGTTGTTGCATTTTGGCTGGGGCCGGGTTTGAACCCGCCACCCTTGGTATACAGGGCCGGCGCCCTACTCACTGAGCCACAGGTGCCACCCCCAAAAGTTGAGACTTTTATTGTGACCGCTTATGTGGTCATTTAAAAACAATCCATGATTATTAGAGCAATCAGTCTCCACTTGGAAAGTTCTAGATGTTTACTCAGTGAGATTTGAATGGTGATTCAAACCCTTCCTGTCCTTGTGCCTGTGAGATCGGCTGTCTCTGAGACACATGGAGATGTCTCCCATTATGATTAGATTTGCCAAGTCCCCTTAGAGTTCTCTCAGCATTTGCTTTACATATTTTAAAGCTTTGTTAAGTATTTATAAACTCCCTCCTGTTCTGAATTCTTCAGGCCTGGTTTGTTTTATCAATTTGCAGAATTCCTCTTTGGCTTTTTTAACCCTTTGACTTTAATTCTTTTTCTTATACACACTGTGCCAGCTTTCTTCCTTTTAAAACTTCCTGCTATGTTTTCCTGACAAAACATAACAGGACCTTTGTAAGGTGACTACACAAGGGACCCTAACAAACTGGTCAGCAAATGGAGGCAGTCAACATATGAAACTAGGTCTAGGGCACCCGTACATGTGGTGCATGTTCAGGCTGTGAAAATTAGGTCAACTTAAGGAGGTGGTCAAGTATAGAGGTTCTACTGTAACTAAAACTATTTCTCTTTTCTGCTAAGAAATATATAGGGATTTTTTTGACACAGTCTTACTCTTTGCCCTGGGTAGAGTGTTGTGGCATCGTAGCTCACAGCAACCTCAAACTCTTGGGCTCAAGTGATACTCTTGCCTCAGCCTCCCGAGTAGCTGGGACTACAGTTGCCTGGTGCATCACCTGTCTAGTTTTTCTAGTTTTAGTAGAGATGGAGTCTTACTCTTCTTCAGGCTGGTCTCAAACTCCTGAGCTCAGGTGATCCACCATGCCCGGCTTTTTGTTTGATTTTTGACATGGAGTCTCACTCTGTCGCTGAGGCTAGAGTACAGTGGCATCATCATAGCTCACTGAAACCTTGAACTCATAGGCTCATGTGATCCTCCTGCCTCAGCCTCCTTAGTAGCTGTGACTACAGGCACCTGCCACTACATCTGGCTAATTTTTTTACTTTTGGTAGAGATGAGGCCTTGATACGTGCCCCAGGCTGGTCTTAAATCTCCTGGCCTCAAGAGATCCTCCTGTCTAGGATAGCAGGCATGAACCCCTGTATCCAGCTAAGAGATAAAGTTTTTGTTACTGGTATTCTCATATTTATAAGTCTAATGTGAGAATTGCCTTTAGTTAGATGTCATCTTGAGATGCAGTGACAGGTTGTAAAAATTGCGTTAAAACAACTATTTCATTTATGTATGTTGAAAATAGATGCTAATTGAGAGCTGTCACAATAACTTACCTTGACCTTGGTGAACTTGAGGACTAACAAGGTCTGCTTGTCCCTTTCGAAGTTGCCAGTTCCCAGGAGACTGGCTCTGGGACCTGCAGGAGTCTAGATAGAGCCACAGCCTAACCCTACTTCTGCCCCTTACTCAGAATAAGGATGGATGCTTGGGACTAGCTTCCTCACTGTGTGAAAATAGTTTAGGAAATTTCTCAAAATACTTTCTTATGTCTGGGAATGATTATTTTATTTCTGAGTTTCACTTTTTTACTCTACAAGGTAAATCTACCTTGACAGATATAAGCAAATGTTTTATATTTGTGCTTTAGGTCCTAATAGGAAATTTTTCAAAATATGGTTCATCTTAAATTGCATCTTAAAACCTTTTAAATTTAGGAAGAAAATTACAGTCTGTCTATATGCAGCTCTAGCTTCTGAGTATAGCTAATAGTTGGAAATGGCAAATTGGTTTGGTTGGAATGTCACTTAAAATGTGGGCAGGTGTAAAGTTACAGCCACCCCAGAGCACTCAAAAGCTAAGTCAGTGGCTGCAGAGAGCTTGTACTTCCCCTGGGGTTGAATTAAATATAAATTTGCTCAAACTCAGCAACAAAAAAACAACACAATTTAAAAATGGGAAAAGGACTTGAATAGTCTTTTCTCTAGAAAAGATACACACATGACCAGTAAGTGCATGAAAAGATGCACTGGCATCAGTCATTAGGGAAATAAAAATTAAAACCAGAAGGAGATGCCATTTCACACCCATTAGGATAACCATTATTAAAGAAAAAAAAAACGTTGGCAAGCACCTGGAGAAGCTGGAATCCTTGTGTGTGGCTGGTGGGGATGGACAATGGTGCAGCCCTGTGGGAGACGGTGTGTGGTGCCTCAAAATGTTAATCACCATAATCCAGCAATTCCACTTCTGGGTATAAACCCAAAAGAATCAAAACCAGGACCTGGTTGACACCTGTACATCATTATTCACAGCTACATTATTCACAGTGACTGAAAGGCAGAGACAACCTGAGAGTCCATTGACAGATGAATGGACAAAACAAAATACGTTGTAAACACAATAGAATTTATTCAGCCACAAAAAGGAAAGAAATTCTGACACTCTACAGTATGGATGACCTTTGAGGACACAGTGCAAAGTAAAATGAGTCAGTCACAAAAGACAAACTTATGTGATTCCTCTATCTGAGGCACCTGGAGGACTCAGATCCACAGGGACACAGTAGATGAGGGGGTGGGCGGCGGATGAGAACTTGGTGCGTAATGGGGATAGAGATAGAATGTGTTGGAAAAAGTGATGACGGCTGCACAATGGGAATGGACTGCAGTAAAATGTACACTGACAGATGCTTCACATGGCAAATTTTGTTATACCTGCATATATTTTACCACAATAAAAATCTATAAACTGAGATTTAATTGTGTAGAAAACCTATGGAAATATCCAAACAAGCACAAAAAATGGGAGGGAACGGATTAATGAATTCCTGTGTTTCCATAACTTGGTTTCAGGCATAGTTTTGTTTCACCTACACTCCCACACACACTGAATTATTTTAAAGCAATGCCAAACACCTCATTTCATAAATGTTTCTCTAAAAGAAAAGGGCTATAAAAAAACATAACTACAGTATTATTGTTGTTACCATTCTTTCATATCCAAACTTGTCCTGAGAACTCTCATTGGCTTAAAAATGTCTTTTTTTTACAGTTGACTTATTTGAATCAGAGTTCAAGCACTGCATTTGGTTGGTAGCTTTTAAATATCTTACTAATCTGTAATCGTTCCCCTTTTTCCCTCACTTTATTTATTGAAAATGGGATTATTCATCAGACTTTTCTACCTTCTGTATTTTGCATATCCTGTTTCCTGTAAACAGGTGACCTAGAGGCTTAATGAGATCTGGCCACCCCTGCATCCTTCTCAGAGTCTCTTCTTTCCCTTGTAATTGAGGCTTTTTGAAAACCAGGAGAGAGAGGAGTAATGGCAAAGGCCCCACTGGTGCTGCCAGGCAGCCCCGTCTCCCCAAGCTGTGGGCACAGCCAGGTTCGCAGGAGACAGGGGAGGGAGTCGCTGCAGGATGGTGTAGGCGACACTGACCTGCACACTTAATGATGGTTCAAATGTAAACTCCTAATATGTATAGTTTACCACACTAAAAAAACCTATAGCTCCTTCTGCAGTGTGGCCAGCCATTTTGAGGATTTATTGAAAAAACTAAATAAAAATACATGTATGGTATTTGTGTTATTTAAGAAAAATGTTGAAATCCTTATGTTTATTATGTATCCTCCCTTACAAGGTATGACGTGAGCTTGTGAATGACCCTTTAAAACCATATACTTTGAAGCAGTTGATCTAGCTCTTGATTTCACTCTTTGATTTTTACCATAATTTTCATGTCTGTGAATCAGGACATTAATGATCACTTCTTGACCTTAGGAATTTGAGAGTGTATTTTGCGGTAAAACTGGCAGAAGGCTAAAGCTGACCAGACCAGACTCCTTGGTGACCTGCCCTACACAGGGGAGTCTACAGAGTAGCCCCGCGATGGAGATCAAGTGATCGGACTGAACTGCAATCCCTCGAAATCTAAACCTGTTCTCTGCAATCCTGGAACTCCGCTCTGATAGTCTGACTCGAGAGGGACACACCTCAAGTTGATGGGACTCCAGTAAGGACTTTGAGAGCACATTTTGTAAAAATATTTATCTAGAACAAAATATTTATCCACTAATGTCCTCTTAGACCATTTGGGGATAACGACATCTTGATAATTAGTAATTTTTCAATTATCTGTCTGATTCCATCATGTTTTCTTAACATGATAACATAAAAAATTAACATCCTTTGTAATTTCTTTAGTCTTAAAAAGTACATTGCTTTTTACTTATTTACATTTTAAATATGCCCCTTTAGCAATTGGAACAAGTTAAATTGTTCTTCACTAGAAAGAGTTTGGAAATTTTATTTTATTTGTTATATCACTCCCCTTGTAATGATTTCCGGTCGCATGGTGCTGTGTTTCCAAATGCAGTACGATTTTAAACCTTTTTGGTAAACATTTTCCAGAGACTTCTTTTAAAGCTACTTTGACCATAAATGAAATGCTATCTCAGTGGATTTCGTAAATGCCCACATTTCCATATTGAGCCATTACTTCGTGTGTAATAAACTGTAGTGTTTGGAACTGAGGTTTTCAAATGAGTGGCTTTATTATTACAACAGGTCAGCAGAAGTCAGTGCAATACAAAGTCACCTTCAATAAATACTGTTAATCGAGATGTACGTTTGTATACAAAAAGTGGATAAATCATACTAGAACTCTGTATAGAAGACATACTGCACATTAAATTATTTATTTTTTGTTACGCTGTAGCCAGTCATTAATCTGAATATTTGATATATCATTTTATTGGTATTACGTCAGTCTTTAACAAATGATATGTAAACAAGTTGACTATTTTTCATCTCATGGAATTGTACAAAACTTTTTATATATACACACTTTGTTCTCTCAAATGCTGGGCTTACAGATTTCCTGCCTGGGGCCTATGTGTGAGGTATGCCCTCACAGAGGAGGGGGCAGCTCGACCTGGATGCTCTCAGGGACTGAGTGTCTAGTCGGCCACCACTGAGGGCATGGAGGGCAGGCTGGGGGCACCCTGGACTGGCTGGACTGCTGGACGTCCACACCTTGGTAACAGCTGTTGCTTCAGTTGCTGTCACTTCTTCACTTCCCTAAGTTCCATTTTATGAGCTCCTGGGACCAGATTTCTCCCCAGCACCTCCTAACACGGCTCCTTGGCAGGCTGAGGTGTCACAGATGCCTGGAGTCCCCTGAGCACCCACAGCGCCAGGCAACCCCGGGTCACCAGGCAGCCCTGGCTCACCATGAGCGCCATCCCGGCCATCTTTGCTGACGCCGGTCACGCCTTGTGGTCCTGAGACAGATCAGGAAGGCAAGTTTAGGAGCAGTAAGGGGAAAAGAAAAGGTGCTTTAGACTCCCTAAGCCTGCCAGCCTCATTGCTGCCCCTCCACCTTAGTCCTTAGCTTTAGAAGAGGCCAAGGGGAGGAGAGAACAGGGTTGAAGGCTCCAGGTGGGGTCAGTGTGGGTGCCTGACTCCAGACAGCTCATTGGGTGCTGGACAGACTGGACTCAGGGTGGGACAACAGCCGCTTACTGAGATGGGGTGATGAAGGCCAAGACATATGGTCACAGTGCAGCCCCAGGCTGCTGTCCACTGGGAACAGCGACGCCATGGTGGGGAGAGATGCAGCCAAAGGCCCCAGGGGACCCAAGCATCCAGACACCAGGTGGGAGAAGCTGGGTTGGCAGAGGAGACCCCAGGGGCAACAGGGGCCCCAGAGAGGAGGTAGGGTGTACAGAAGGAGCCTAGAAAGGAGCCGTAGCCCACGGGTGATTGTTACGTCAAAACTAGGAGCCCCAGATTTGAGGACGTGCGGTAGATGGGAATGCTCTGGAACAGAGGCTTCAATAGGGCACAGGTTCACGGCACACTGGGGTGCCCCCTCCTTGACAAAGCATTTATTTTTGACATTAAAAAAACGGACCCACTGTAGGTGTGGGTCAGTTAAGAAGACATTCCATTATAATTTAATTGAAATAGACACTAAGTAGCATTGGTTAAATAGAATTTAACCAAATCCACTTAGTAAAATAGATGAGGGTCTATTTATTGATTAAACTTTTACATACTAGTTATTAGACACTTTCTAATCTTGCCTCTTAGAATGCTTTGCCAAGAGATAAAAACATTTCCACTATAAAAAAATAAGCATGAACATGCTTGGCATGTTAACCTGAGCACTCCCAACGTCAGGTGGCAAAATGTGGAAAACATGACATGACAAAACCTTGTTGATGGTGCCTCATACCTGGGAGCCCCTGGTCTCCATCGGGCCCATCTAGGCCTGCTCCAGCCGCACCTTTGTCCCCTCTGTCACCCTGGTTTCCTGTCAGGAGGTGTTGGATACAGACATGTCATTAGAATCTCTGCTGCCACTGAACCCTGGCTGTGCTTGACCCCACCTTTTTAGTGACATACTGCCCGCTTTTCACAAGCTTTTAATTAAAGTGGAACCATTTAGAAAAGTAAAGACATCTATGAGCTGAACCCACCTAGGTACCCCTATGCACCCCCAGGTGACAGTGGGTCTGTAAGATTATGGCACTGTGTTGTCTCTGCCTTTTCTGTTCAGGTATGTGTAGACACAAACGCGTCCCAACTACCTGCTGCCCAGGTGTGGAGCCGAGGCAGGGGCCCATGCCACCCGGGTTGTGCAGGCACACCTGTGGTGTCCCACAATGCAGGTGGCCTGACACGTTTCTCCGACGTGTTCCCATTGTTGAGTGATGCACTACCGTAGCTGGCTGGGATCATCAGCACTCAGCTCCCTGACTTCCGGCAGCCACTTGGATGGGATTTGAGTATTGTTCAGTGTACTTGTGAATATTAAACAGTTAAGTATTTATTTTGTTATCATATTCTCAATATGATTTTTGACCCATGAGTTATTTCAAGGTGTTTATTTATTTAGAGATAGAGTCTTGCTCTGTTGCCCAGGCTGGGGTGCAGTGGCATCACTGCAGCTCAGTGCAACCTCCCAGCGTGTTGGGATTATAAGCGTGAGCCACCATGCCTGGGCAAATAACACCGTCTGTCAGGAGGGTGACAGACTGTGAGGCCGACAGTGTGATTAGAGCTCATCTACTTTGTCTGATGTTAACAGTAGTGACACCAACTTTGTCTTGGTGTCTGTCTGTATATCTTTTCCAACCCAGCTGCTCAGAACAGGCATGCTCAGCTATACCAAGGTCATAGGCAGTTCCTGCTCATCCACATGTCACACACAGGCCACTGTGGGGATGGTGCCTGGCCTGCAGTTCCCAGTTGGCCTGACTGGCTGCACCCGGGGGGAGCGTGACTTTCTCAGGAAGGGGAGGTGGAGGCTCAGTGGTGACAACAGCTTTGGTTGGGGGACACACAGCAGGCCCATCTATGCATACATGTTCTCATTTAATTCTCATAGCCCCCAGAGCACCCCATGCCCGCTTTGTTGGAGGAGAGACTGAGGTCCCAAGAGTCACCTCCAGGGAAAGGACCAACAGAAGGCTCAGCATTCCTGAAGGCACACACTGCAGTCACCTCTGTGTTTAATGAATGTTGTCATACTCGTTTTCTTTCTTTTTCTTTCCTCTTTTTTTTTTTTTTTTGAGACAGAATATCACTGTCACCTTGGGTAGAATGCAGTGGCATCATAGCTCAAACTTGTGGGCTCAAGAGATCCTCTTGCCTCAGCCTTCTGAGTAGCTGGGACTATAAGGGCCTGCCATAATGCCTGGCTAATTTTAAAAGATGGGGTCTCGCTCTTGCTCAGGCTGGTCTTGAACTCCTGAGCTCCAGCTTTGCACCTGCCTCGGCCTCCCACAGTGCTAGGATTACAGGCGTGAGCACCCAGCCGTCATACTGGTTTTCTGACAGAACCAGTAAAGGTGATTAATGCTCTTTGTGAATTTTATTTTTCAAAGTCTTAAAGGTATCTGGATCCCTATTTGAAGAAACTCTTTTGTGGGTCTCTTTTGTGGGTCTCTTTCTTAAGTCCGCAATCCTTCATATGGCATTAGGCTGGCATAAAAGCCGAGAAGGTTATAACTTAAAGAAGTTGCAAGGAAATGGGACGCTATTTGATGGCCTTGTCATATGCACTATAGACAGTGTGTATGGACAGAAAGATGTTCAATTTGACACATTTGCCCTCTAGTGTTGAAATTCTTCAATCTCTATCTTAAAAATAAGTGAAATGATATACTAATAAGGGAATAGGAAGAAAGGGATGTACAGATTTAGTTTCCCCTTAGAAACTTTTTTCTTAAGCTATTTTTGAGAAGCAGGAAATTATTTGGTCAGTAACTTAAAATCAGCAAGAATCATGAGCTTTGAATCCTCACTTGGGCCTGGGGCCAGATGGCTGGGTGAGGGCTGTGGAGGGCAAGCTTGAGATTGTAAAATAAATTAAATGTTAAAAGACCTTTGTGAAAACAGTGTCTACTTTACACAATGGTGTTTTTAACGCTTCCAGGCCCCGCAGTTCACGTCTGGGCATCCCTGGCACCCTGGGCAGCCCCAGGAGATCAGCAGCCAATGCCAGGGCTGCCGTCCTGCTAACAAGGCCTTCTGGGTTCTTTATAGTCTTGAAATTAGAACAAATTTTGTATTTTCATCTTTGCAATAGAAATTTCCACATACTGTCGGCGTCTGGGAAGATGTACACTGGCATCAATGTGAACGAAACCCCTATTTATTCTGTCCTCACATTTTTTTTTAATCAACCCTCCTTATCAAATGTCATTCTGATGGTATTTGACAAAAATACCATTTTAAAAAATGTTCTCCTTTCTCAGGACTAACGAGCATGCATGTGTCTGAAGTGTCCTAGAAGCAGTGTCCACTGACAGCTCTGGCTTCTGTGACATTTTTATAGCAAGGTGACCATGTCATAGGGTCAACTACTCACCTCGGGGCCCGGGGTCTCCCAGCTCACCGGTGGGACCACGGTATCCAGGGGGTCCTCGAGCGCCAGGGTGGCCGATGGAGCCTGGGGGGCCCGGGGGTCCTGGGGGGCCAGCCGGGCCAGGCCGACCGATGGACCCTGGTGCTAGAGGCTTACGCAGGTGCGCGGCTAACTGTGCAATTTGCTCTTTTGGAGAACAAGGGTGTTAGAGTTTATGTCAGGGGGTGGGGGGCTCTCCCAAGTGCTCCCATGTGAGGTGTGAGATACCCACACAGACTTGCCTTCCAACTGAGTGAAAATGGTTTCAACTCATCTGGAGGCGGGGGTGACACATGCTGCCCCAAGCCAAGGGACAGCACTGGGGGTCATTGCCTCAGAAGCTGTGGACAGAGGGGAACTAGTCCTCCCAGCTAAGGGCACAATCATGGGTCCCTTGTCCCTGCTGTGTGCAGCAGGCCTTGTACTGCAGCCTGAGGAGGGGGCGTAGCCCTCACTACAGCAGAGGATGGCCACTGGCCACCAGCATGGACCCCTAGAGGCTCCCCTAAGCAGGAAAGAGGTCCAGCCAGTCTGGTGTGTGGCCCCGGCAACTCACCACTTATCAGGCCCCCACACAGCTCCCGGACGCGCTGCTCACTGGCTTCCTTCCCCTGAAACGCACCCCACAGATTCATCTGCATGTTGGGCGCTTGCTGGCAGCCACTATCAGACCCCCCAAAGCCACTCAGGTTGTTGAGAAAAAAATGTAATCTAAGTCCCATAGAAGCCCAGTGCCAACGGAGCCCACCAAGCAGGGAGGGAACGTACCGGAACTCCCGGTTTTCCAGTGATGCCGGGGACACCCTGGACACCCTGGAAGCCCAGGGGCCCAGGGGGCCCGGGGACACCTTGGACGCCGCTGGTGCCATTGGGACCCTGGATACCTTTGGGGCCCAGCTCCCCTCGACTGCCAGACTGCACAGAAATAGGACAGAGGGGTCAGAGGAGAGCAGGGCTCCCACTGCAGCCCCAGCCAGCACAGCATTCAATGTCCACAACCGCTGCCCCGGGGGCACCTGCACTCACCTCTCCCTTAGATCCGACAGGACCGCTGGGACCCTGTGGGGAGAAAGGTGGCATGTCACTCACTTGTTCCCAGAGGCAGTCACACACATCCTTAGTCGAGGATGAAATGGAAAACGAGTCCCCCACAAACCTGCTGTTTGCGTCCTTGCTTTTATTCTTGCAGATACAGACGCAAGTTACTGAGATTGTACTAATCTACCAACGCTTTGTAAACTTACCTGTGTTTCCCTGAAGACTGATTTTAGCAGCTGCATAGGGTTGTCTCTTAGATGTGGTTACTTTGTTACCTTTCTTTCTTTTTTATTTTTTCCCTATTATAAATAATACTGTGGCCAGGTGCAGTGGCTCACACCTGTAATCCTAGCACTCTGAGGAGGCTGAGGCTGGTAAAGAAAATAGCTGGGAGTTATGACAGACGCCTGTAGTCCCAACTACCTGGGAGGCTGAGACAAAAGAATCTTTTAAGCACGAGAGTTTGAGGTTGCTGTGAGCTATGATGCCACAGCATTCTACCAAGGGTGACAAAGTAAGACTCTGTCCCAAATAAATAAATAAATGAATAATATTGAGCTGAATGTCTCTGCCATGAACGGGCCCTTCTCCAAGTACATCTCCAGGAGTGATAAGCTGATCTGCAGTTGTAAGCAGGACACAGCCCGCTGGGTGCACACGTCTCCCCAGATCACGTGTTGAAACTTAACTGCCACTGTGATGGCATTAAGAGCTGGGATCTTTCAGAGGTGACTGGGTCTTGAGGGTCCTGCCTATGAGTGTGTTAATGCCATTACCCCAGGAGTGGGTTCCTGGTAAGAGGATGAGCCCAGTCCCTCTGCCCCCCACCCACCACCCCACCACGTCTTCTCTCAGTCATTCTCTTTGGGCCATGGCAATGGGATGTGTCCCAACTCCTGTCAAGAGGGCAAGAGGGCCCTCGCAAGATGCACCCCTCGACTTAGACTTTCCAGCCTCTGGGTCACAAGTCAGAGGAATCTCTCCTTTTTGTAAATTGCCCTGTCTGTGAGATTCTGTTGTAGAAGCAGGTCACAGGCTACATCACAGTCCCCAGCACAAGCAGAGGGCCGCCTGGGCCCTGGACACTCAGTTCAGGCATCCAAGGCTGGGCAGGGCAGAGGAGGAGCCCCACACAGCAAACACTGCCCCCCACACTACAGCTGCCATTTGGGTCTGTCAAGGTTGTCTAAGAATTTGCCAGAATAAAGAAGACACCCAGCTGCGATGACTTTGGTTAGAGGCATCAGGAGTTTGCACAAGGCTGTGAGGGTTTTGCCCGAGATCAAGATTCCTAGGGCTGAGCTGCTTCTGTTGCCCCTGACATAGACAAGATCAAGCAAAGAATCAAGATCCACGGCCATGGCCACAGGAAAGCCAAGAAGATCATTCCCTTGACCCTCATAACGTCTCCATCTCTTTCCCTCCAAAAGGAGAAATTCAAGTCTGTTAATGGATTCAAATGAGGATTTTATTTTATATTTAACCTGTTTTAGCTCTGTGGAAGTGGTTTTCTTTAGTTAAAACTCACCTGTGACTAATTCTTGCTGAAAAGCTGCAAACAATGCTTTTGTAAGCAGAGTTACCATGTGAGGGGGCAGTGCAGAGAACCCCTGAAACTGAGCGCCCCAGACAACTCCTGCCCCCATGTCAGGCCTTCCAGGCCCTGGAACAGTCAGTGGCCAGGACCCTGGCCCGGCCTCAGCCCCCTGCAGAGCAGCTTGTTCTCCCACCAGTATCTACAGGTGTTGACCTTGTCCACAGGACGGTCCCCACCCGCAGTGACTAGTTAATTCCCAGTTGTTAGTGACAGTGGGTTGGCTTCATCTCACTCACCATCTCTCCTTTATCACCAGGAAGACCGTCAGAACCGGCGACACCCTGTAAACAACAGACCCAGAGTTCAGGGCCTGAATGTGGGTCAGCAGGGATGCTATCCCTGACACCGCTTGCCTCAGGCCGCGTGTGTCACTCACCCCTGAGACTGAGGCCAGAAGTCTGGGCACCGGGACTTGCCCTTTAACCAGCCCCAAGAACCTGCCTCTGAGACCCGCTGCCCAAGGAGGGGACCACAAATCAGAAATCGCTTGCACAGCGAGGCCTTTCTGCCAAGCTGGTGACCAACACTGACTGACCCTGGGCTGCCAGGAGGCAGCAGGTACAGCTGGCAGGCAAGGCAGCCTTGACCACAGGCCCCCCATCCCTACCCTAAGCTTTTCCAGATAGAAAAGTGCTATGATGGGAAGTATGTTTCTAACTTGATTCTACAAAACACAGACCCCAGACCCTGCCCTCCTCCTCCAAGTCAGTCTCCCAGACAGTCATCAGGACACACCCCATCCCTGACTCCTGGGACAGAGGCAGCGTCTGGGGTACCCAGAGCTGCACAGTGACTGTCCAACAGGCCAGCTGTGTGCACTCTGAGCTGGGGGCAGAGTCAGGAAACCAGAAAGACAGGAGAGACATGGACCTAGCCCTGACCTTGACCACTGGGTACCTGCTCACCTGGTCGCCCTTAGCGCCTGCAGCACCTCCAAGGCCCTGGGGTGGAGAAAAGGCTCTGGTTAGAGGGGCTACAGGACTCCCTGAAGTGGCCTCCACCATGTGGTGGGACCAGGAACCCTACCTGGACCCAGGAACGGTAGACACTTCCATGCTTCTGTGAATGTGGGCATGAAGGGCTATTGTGTTGCCCCAGACACAAGGCCAGGTATAGTTCACAGATCATAGGAATGCAGAGAACCTCCTCTGCACACAAAGATCCTGAAGCTGCTGCCTCCCTCTCATCCTGGGTGGCTCGAGGCACTGCTTGGCCCCAAGTATTCCCTCGACTGTCTCAGCATCTTTTCCTCCAGAACCACCCTATCCTTGCCAGGGCTCTATCGCAGAGCTCCTCAGGGATAGTGAGGTCCCTTAAGCTTGGTATCATTTGTAATCCCAAAGAACGTCTATGGGCATCGCTGTACTCACAACCCCAGGATAATCCCATCACAGTGGAATTCCTGAGTCAAAGACCCAAAGCTCATACTGGCCACCTTCCTATGCCACTGTGAAATTAAGGACATGTCTGGGGATTGCTATCTTCCTTTAAAAAATATCCATTTACAGCTGGGCATGGTGGCATCTATAGTCCGGTCACTTGGGAGGCCACTGTGGAAGGATCACATGAGCCCAAGTTTGAGGCCAGCCTGGGCAATATAGTTAGACCCTGTCTCTATAAAAAATAGAGAAATTTTTTAAAAGATCAATTTGCTTACATAGCATAAGAATGTGCGGGCAGTGCAAGTCGCCTCATGAAGCTAAAGAGAAATGCAGCAGCTAGCTCCCCCATCCCCCAACCCCCACTCTAGGCCAGAAACTGGCCCAGCCATCTCCTGGAGGCCCTCAGGCTGCTGGCACGTCTAGACCTCTGGAATTTCCTGCCCAGAGGCTAATAAAGAGCCTACTGTCCCCTGAGGTGGGGAGGTGGCAGTTTCTGCAGGGCCAGCTGCCTGCTCAGAATGGAAGGTGCCTGGGATGGCGCCGGCCCCTAGTCTGCTGTGGTATCCTCTATACACCCACATCTCTGAAGAGGGCTCTGTCCCTGCCCAGCAGGGCTGGCCACGTCAGGCACACGAGGTCCCCTAGAACCTGGTAGAACGTGACCAGGGCCCAGACTGGACCACAGCCTCCTCCCCTAGCCAGCTGGGGCCCTGGGCCGGTCACACAGCCTCTGTGCCCTGACCCCCAAGAGCCAACGTCACAGGCTGTTGCTTGATCAGCAGGAAAGAGTCCTAAAAAGTTACAGGTGATGACAGTCCCAATCCTTTGCAACACTGTGTTCAAACTTGGCAGCAATGTGCCCCCTGCCCAAAACACCTCAGCTGGCTTGGCATCCGTTGCTCAGTGGTTAGGGAGTTGGCCACATACACCAGGGCTAAAACCTCGGTCTGCTTAACAACAATGACAACTGCAACAAAAAAAAAATAGCCAGGCATTGTGGTGGGCACCTGTAGTCCCAGCTACTTGGGAGGCGGAGGCAAGAGAATTGCTTAAGCCTCAGAGTTCAAGGTTGCTGTGAGCTGTGACATCACAGCACTCTACCAAGGGCTACATAGTAAGACTCTGTCTCAAAAACAAAACAAAACAAAAAACCAACAATGACAACTACAACAAAAAAATAGCTGGGGGTTGTGGTGGGTGCCTATAGTTCCAGCTACTTGGGAGTCTGAGACAAAAGAATCACTGAAGCCTAAGAGTTGGAGGTTGCTGTGAGCTGTGATGCCACAGCACTCTACCAAGGGCAACATAGTGAGACTCTGTCTCAAAAAAAAAAAAAAAAACTACCCAGCTGACACCTCAAAGGAAGGGACAGGCGTAGTGCCTGGAGCTGCCATCTCACCCCTGTCTACTGGGCACCAGCTGTGTGCCATCCCTGCTGCCCATCTCTGCATGGGGACTGGGCAAAGCAACTGAGGCTCCCAGACCCCCCAGCCCTGCCTGGCCCCTGAGGAAGGCCACACGGAAGGATGGGGGTGGGGTACCAAAGGACACAGTGCTCAGGCCCTGTGCAGCACTGCCTGGGCTCACTTCTCTTGTCTGTGTTCCGTGGACCCTGTTGACAGGAAATGGGGTGCATCCTTTGGTGTAGGCCACTTACCTTGTCACCTATGTCTCCTCGGAGACCCTGAGGGCCTGGAAGGCCGGGGTCTCCCATACCGCCCTTCCGACCCTGTGGAGAAAGTCCCAACTCAGTACCTACATAGGAGGGCCAGGTCCCTCCCTCCTCTGTCAGAGGCCCATGTGTTGTGTGGTCACTGCTCCAGGCCCAAACCCTTGCCCCTACTTCACCCACCTGGAAGCCTCGCACGCCGTGGGCCCCGGGAGGGCCTTGTGGGCCAAGGGCCCCCTAAAAGACAAAAGGAGGTGTGAGTGATGTCCTGGGGGTGGGGCGTGCTGGGGTGGGAGGAGTCCGGAGTTAGACATGGGAACAGCTGTGAAGCCCATGGGGCTGGGTGGGCACATAGGGTGGTCTTTAGCCATCTGGCCAAGTTGATAGAGATAAAGGCAGGGGGGCCTCAGAGAGTTACATACACCCTTTGATGCAGGCGCTGATCTCCACCCCCTGCCCAGGCCCTGGGGTCTCACAGGTGAAGGCACCAGGCTCAGGAGCTCCCACTTTTACTTCCCAGGTCTGAGGCTGGACCTTGGTGAGAAGGTCTTAAAGACAAGACAGATCAGGACTGGCCCCACCTTGTCCAGCATCCTGGGCTTCTGTGGGCCTGGCCCATCAATGCATCCAAAATGCCACCTCTGCCTGCTCAAAGCCTGGGGCCACCTGCCAGAGCCTCGGGCCAACCCCCTATCTGGGGCCTTCTCCCCCACTCACCGCTGAGCCCCTGTGGCCAGCCTCGCCACGCTCCCCAGGCATGCCGACATCTCCCTACAGGGAGAAGGAGCATGTGAGAGCACAGTCATCGTGCACAGAGAGTGAGGGAGGCTTCAGATACTCACAGGGATGCCTGGTTCTCCCGAGCGGCCAGCCTCACCCAGCTCTCCAGCTCTGCCCTGCAGAGGAAGGCAGGGTCATGAGTGCTCCTGGGGTCCCCTCTGTCCAGGGCCAGGCTGTTAGTGTCCCCTCCCCTCTCCAGGAGAAAGTGGCCACATACCAGTTCCCCCTTCTCGCCTTTGGACCCTGCTCGTCCAGGGAGGCCCTGCCAAGATAGAGCTCAGGTCAGCACTGCTGAGACCACAGGTAGGTACACACAGAAAGCAGCATGGGGCAGTGTGCACAGGGCCAGATAGCACCCCCAGAGTAAGGCTACCCCCACAGCATGCAGGATGGGCACCTACATGCACCTGTCCAGGGGGCACCAGGGGCTCTGGGGCTCTTCTGGGCAGTCCCCAGAACCACCAGAGGAAGGGATCCTAAGATGACCACCCCACCTAGCCCACCCAGGCACTTACTGGCAGCCCATTGGGACCCTTCTCTCCCGGAGCACCATTGCGACCGGCCTCCCCCTGAAGGAAAAGCAAGGGTGAGGAGGAGTGGATACTGAGCTCCTCTCTAGCCCCCAGCCCCCCAGTCTGAGCCAACCTTCTCGCCATCGAGTCCTGGCACTCCATCCCGGCCATCCTTGCCCGGCATTCCCTAGGGACAAGGGACGTGTGAGGCCAGGTGAAGGAGCCACCCCCCTCAGCTGCAGCACTGTCCCCCAGAGCAGCCCCCTCCCCACCCCCCAGAACTGGGTCCACCCCATGAACCCTGGGGTGCACTGGGAAATGCCACCAGGGAAGCCCTGTGGCTACCCATGTTGCCCTAAGAGGCTGTGGAAGTAGAGCCTCCATCTGCCCAAATGCTCCACAGAGTCCTCAGGGAAGCATGGCTGTAGCCTGTTTTATAGGTATGGATACAGGGTTGGGTAACAAACTCGGGTGTCATACTCTGACCAGCCAAGGAATCAGAAGCCTGATCCCTGCATCTGTCCTCCCAGCAGCCTTCCCACCCTAGGCATCCCTTGAGAAAGGGTCACCCTGCCTAGAGCCACAGATGGTGGGGAGGGAGCTTCTGGGGTCTGGGTGCACAGCAGGGAGGAGGTCCCAAGGACACTGACTTGGACCCTGGAATGGCACCTCTGTGCCCCCTGTGCTACCTGCCAGCCCAACTCCCACATGGCCTTAGTGAGGGCAAGCCCAGTGAGCTCCTCCACTTCCGTAGGGTCCCAGTGGCTATGGAAACACAGGGGTCAGGGCTGTCCAACCACAACTCCATAAGCCAAGATGGCAGCAGCACACCGCCAACCCCAGGGCAGGCTCTTCTGAGTGGTCAGCGAGGCCCAGACCAGGGAAGGAGGATTATTCTCCAAGAAGCAGCTACAGACAACAAGACAGCCACACAGGCTACACCCAGGCCATGGCCGAGTACTCACCGGCTCTCCAACTGGCCCAGCCACTCCAGGGGCTCCCTTGGGACCAGGTCTGCCCTAAAGAACACACAAGTGCCAGAAGCAGCTGTAGGTTAGGCTCTGAGGACTCTCTTCCCCGACCAGCTCACTAGTTTCAAGGCAGGCTGTGCTCCAGGCAGGGACCAACCACCAGAGAGGGGACTCTGTCCCCAGGCCTAGAGGTGTGTAAGGAGAATCATCTTGGGTCCTCCTGGAGCTCAGGCTGTGGGGGCTCAGTAGACAGAGCTGACCAGGTCTGGAGGCCACCACAGACAAACAGCAGCAGGGGGCTGACACTTTAGCTGGGTTCCCTTAAGTTTACCTGTTCTACCCACTGGGCAGCCTTGGCACAGGTGAGGCCCACACTGCCCAGGGTCCCAGGACTCCAGCCCGCCTGCCCATCCTTCAGCCTTTGCCTGCAGCCTCTTGCTGTTGGCCCCGATGGAGGGTCCCAGGGCCTCCCACAAGGGCCAGAAAGAGGCATGGGGCAGTCCTCCAACCCCACCTGTCAGGTGTCCCTGGGGGTATCCCCGTGGGTATCCCCCACTCTCAACACCAGTCAGGAATTAGATCAGGTGTTTCTGCAGAAAGACCTAGACCTTCTAGTTGAGTTCTTTGTCACTTACCAGGTCACCCTTAGGGCCTCGGAAACCCTCTGGGCCCCTCTCACCTCTGTCACCCTGGAAATGATGGGGCAGGTAGGGGGAACAGAGTTAATCACACAGAGGTGACAGGAGAGCCAGACCAAGGTGTGACCAAGGCCCCTCCAGGCCTGGGCCAGGGTCAGAGGTGGCCAGACAGATGCTGGTGAGAGTCACAGAGGTCAGAGGGCACTTCATGTCCAGAACCAGGAAGGAGGCAAAAATCTCACAAAGGATGAACTCTTTTGGTGACTTGGCCCACTGGCCTGTCCCACCAGCCCCGCCCTCCGGGTGTGTAGATGGGACAACTGTCTTGGCAGGGCCAGCATGGCCTAGTGGGGCCAGGGTTTCTGAATGAGGCAGAGGGAGAGGGTAGAGGCTGTGCCTGCACGGCGGCCACCTTATGCCCAGACACACGTACCGCTTTCCCAGGTACTCCAGGGATCCCGGGGGGCCCTCGGAACCCAATGGGACCCTGTAGAGTAGAGAGGGACACCTCACCTGGGATCCTGTCATCTGCAGCCTGGCTGGGACCTCCCAACAACCCATGTCTGTCAGGAGAGGCCCTGAAAGCACCTCCTCCTCTGGGGCCCCCCATAGGCCCTCAGTATACCTCCCAGTTGTCCCCAACCCTCCTCCTCTCCCTCACTCCCCTTGGGCCTGAGCTACCATGGCCCTCGCAGAACCTGGGCTGGGAACTTGTGCGTGAGGGGTGTGAGGACAATTGGCTGACTTCCACACTTGCTGGGCCACCCTTACATGGACATGAGGACAAGCCCAGGACCCCCCCCCACTCAACCTCTAGACCTATCTCAGTCTGGCCCACAGCCCCCCCCAAAGGAATGCAGAACTTACCCGGTCCCCAGGGGGCCCAAGTGGCCCTGGCAGTCCTCTTAGCCCCCGGGGGCCCTGCGGTGAGAAAACCAGAGACACAAAGGCCAAGGTTGCACCCCCCACCCCACAGCCAGCACCTTCTCAACCCAGCTCTGAGAGGCATCAGCCTTGGAATCAGCACCCTCCACAGAGGAGGATCCCAGCCCAGGTGTGGGCCAATCTTCCCTCAGCCCGAGCTAACCCCCTTGGGGGGCCATCCATGAGGCTTCCATCCCACCACTCTCACCCCTCCCTGGCCTCACCTGTAGCCCCACAGTGCCTGGGATGCCAGCGGGACCAGGGGGGCCGGGGTCGCCCTGCAGTAGGAGAGAAAATGGGGGTCAGTGGGCTGAATCTGGAATTGCCATATCACAGCTGGGCTGTGCAGGCTGAGTGAGAGTCACACATAGCTCCAGAGCCATCACTCGTCTCCCCAGAGCCTGCCCCTCCCTCTAGGCCTTTGCCTCCCCATCAGCCATCCTAGTTGACAGCCCCAGACACAGCTGGTGCTCACCTTCTCACCGTCCTTGCCGACTTCTCCCTGCTCCCCTTTGTAGCCAGTGGGTCCCTGAAAGCAACAACAGGAGCAACATAGCCCCACCAGACCCTCAGTTCCCTTCCCTGAGCAGCACTAAACCAAGGCCCACATGGCCTATCACTGGGACCCAGTCACAGCCACAATACAGAAGGCTGGGCTGTGGGGGACTGAGGCCTGAGAGGTATGGTGTGCAGAGGGCTGGACTGTGGAGGCCTGAGGCCTGAGAGGTACAGTGGGCAGGGGCAGTGCTGGGCTGCAACATGATACCAGCTCTCCCCCATGACCTCTCTCTGCCCCTTGCTGCCCAGTCCTGACCTGGCCCTACCAGCTTCCAGCCCCACCTTCTCCCCACCCTGAACCATGTCACCCACCAACCTCACTCAATTGGGGTCACCCTGTGATTGCCCACTCACCTTAAACCCTGGCATTCCGGGGGGACCAGGGGGACCTGGAGGGCAGATACTTGGACACTGTTGGAAAACAGAATGATCAGACCCTCCCAGCCAGACAGAGCAGAGCCCCAACACAGAGCCCAGCACTAGGGGCCCTGAGAAGGGGTTCCCCAAGGGTGAGCCCAGACAGGGCTTTATCAGTGCCCACCCAGCCTGGCAAGAGGCTGCACAAAGCCCGTGGCCAGCTGCCCCCCACCACTGGCAGATGTCTCAGTCCAGGCAGACAAGGCTTTCAAGTGGCTGTTCAGCATGGTGGCCACTGGCTCCACAAAGGGCCTTCACAACACCTTCAGGCAGGGGCCCCTGGCACATGCAGGGAACCAAAGGAAGGTTCCACATTATCCACAACTACAGTGGCAGGCTGGGTGAGGTGCAGAGCCGGTATCATCAGCCTGTGGTCTCCTCACACTGGAAGACTGAGCCCTCCCTTCTGGGACATGCTAGTGGAGGGACCCAGCTGGGCATGAGAACGGCGGGGGGCAGCAGCCACTGGTGGTGGTAGTTGGAGAAAACCAGAAAAGAATTTTTTCTCTTGAAAGTTTACAGTCTTTCCACGGAGATGGGTGTCAGCTGTCACTGCAGACAGCCACATAAAGATGAGGAGCATATCTGGGGCCTCTGGAGTCTTTTCTTTTTACACGACTAACAAGGATTAAAGATCAAGATAAGAGACTCAGACTCTATTTGGGAGCCTTCTGAGTTGAGGGAGACCTGTCAGTGTGGTTGCCACCTGCACCTGTGGCTTAGAGCCCCCACCCTTGGTGGTTCATGCAGGGAAGAGCTAAATTTTCACTTGATGTGATTGTAATTCAGGGTTACATTGCTCATGTGGCTGGTAGCTTTGTGACAGTATAGGTCTGAATAGTGGTGGAGATGCTGTGGGGGGTGGCCAGGGAGGGCCTAGCGGGGTCTCCACCAGCTGTGCCCAGAGCTACCTGCCCTGATCCTCTGTCCCCATGAAGTCCCTCAGCCCCTTCTTCCTGCCAGTTGGGAATAAGCCCCTCTCCAGGGAGTATGCTACCTTGGAGTGTCCCTGAGGAGGGACTCAGGCCAGCCCCCTCCCTTCAAGGCAGACACCCCCATCTCCCTTCCCAAATGGCTGCAGTGCCTACCTGAAGGTCGGTAGCACCTTCGGGGAGGACCCCAGGGTGTCCCTGGAACACAGAGAGGCAGCTGACATCCCTCGCCCTCCTCATACCCGTACCCACCCTTTCTCTGCTACAACCTCCCCACCCACCAGGGGACTCAGAGACCCTTCATCTTATGACCTAGTGCTGGGTGCTGCTGGCCCAGCCACAGGACAAGGGACAATGACAGAAGCCACCTGCCCTTGGGGTGTAGTGGGCATAGGGGCCCGGCCACAGATGCTGCCCTCCCCATACCTTTACCTGTTCCTGGGAATGGCAAGGTTAGGGTTAGGGGTTCTTCATGGGTCATAGGGCCTGGTCGGTGGGGGAGGGGGGGAATGAGGGTTCCACCTAGTGCATTAGTCCAGTACTTACAGGGGGTCCAGGAGGTCCTGGGGGGCCAGGGAGGCCTGGCAGTCCAGAGGGCCCCTGAGGAAGAATATGATTTAGACAGAGCAGCCCCTGAGTGATGTGACCAGCTCCCCCCAGACAGGAGGGCACACCCTGCTTCCCCAGTCCTGTAGGGCCTCGTGTGGGTCTGCGTGTCCAGAGGTCTGTACTGTCCCTTCTCTGGAGTGCTGGCCAGGGCTTCTGCTAACACCCGCTTGGAAAGTGGGGAGAATGGGGAGCAGAGGGGTGGCCCCTGGCTGTTGAGTCTAGGTACCTGATGGTGACCGTAGTGACCTGCTACAGGGGTAGGAAGGCCAGGTGGCCACTTACCGGTGGGCCACGGAGGCCAATCCCACCTGGGAGGCCGCTCACTCCTGCCTCTCCCTGGAGTGGGGTAAGAGGTAAGAGATGGGGGTCTATACCCAAAGAGCCCTGAGGATCCCAGGGAAAGGGTCCCCACCCAGGGTCCTCTTGCTATTTCTGAGGGGATGGAGACATGCTGTAGGGTGGTCAGGCTCCCCTCAAAAGTCCCACCCCTAGCCATAGTGTGGGACACTCAGGATGGCTCCATGTGTGGGGTGGCTCTGGGAACTTGCACACATGCTCAAGAGGCCACAGGGTCATTGGTACTCACAGATGCTCCAGGGAGGCCTTTGCCCTGCAAGCCAAGTGCAGGGATCAGAGCTTGCTGGGCACAGGATGGGGAGTGCCCCATCCCCCCAAGATGGCTCAGGTGGGTCCTGAAGGAAGGCCTTGGAGTGGGAGGACAGGCCCCAGCCTAGGGCCCAGGGATGGCCTCTGGGGCTTCTGGAGGTCACCCTGCCCTGGCCAAACCCTCCAGTCCCACAAACTCCCATAGAGAGGTGAAAACCACACTCACCCCCAGACCAGGTGGCCCCGGAGGTCCCAGACTTCCCTGTGGAAGGAGGCGGTATCAGGGTTGCTACTGCCTTTGAGCCCTTCCCCCCTTGGGAGTCCCCTCCCCAGGGTGGGGGGCTGCTCTGCTCTCACTCCTGAGGAGGAAGAGCATGGCCAGAAAAGACACTTTCCTGAAGCTGCTAGCAGTGGACACCAACGGTGCAGCATAGGACAGTGCAGTCAGGGCGGCCCCAACACACACAGGTGATCCCAAAAGCCTGTCTCCCCTGAAGTGCTCCAAGTAATCAATGCAGCAGTCACTGAGATCTCGGCCCTGGCCTAGAGGAGCCAGCCCCACAGCCCCACCCTCTGAATTCTTTGGATCCGGATGGGAGAACACCCTAGTCTTTGCACCTGAGGTCAGAGGTTCCCTCCAGAAAGCCCCGGGCAAGCCCCTACCCCCAAGGCCCAGCACCAAAGGATCCCTTCCATGGTCTTCAACCCAGACACGACTCCCCCCCACCCAGCCTCCCTGCCCCGACATGCTTTGTGCCTACTGTGAACATCACAAAGGGAAGGACAGAATGTGGGCTGCTTTGTACGCAGAAGCCATGAGTGGAGAAAGCCATTCCAAACAGTGTTGTCAGTCAGTCAAGGAGGAAGATTCAGTGGCCAGTGGCCAGATTTAGGGGACTTGGCAGGTTGGGTGACAGTGAGCCTAGGGCCTTGTCAGCTACAGGGGCACCCTGAGGAGGAGGGGCACACAGGGCATACCATAACCCCCAACACCAGTTCTCCCCACTAGGGTCCGAATGCTGAGACACCTGTGACCTGAAGAGGGGCAGGCAGGGAAGGGCAGCCACCAGGGGTCAGGGAGGAGGTGGCCTTTCAGCCTCTGCCTCCCTGCCCTCTACACCCTGCAGGGGCAGGTTCCAGTGAGCCCCTGTCACTGCCACCTCCTGGCTGGGTGACCCCACTTCTGAACTGAAGCCGCCACACAGGGTGTAGGCACTTACCCGTTCTCCAGGGGCACCCTTGGGTCCAGGAGGTCCGTCCCGCCCGGTCAGACCCTGGGGAGAGAGGCAGAGGATGGGCTCAAGGGGCACATGAGTAGCATGTGCCAGCCCCCAGGGCAACAGGGAGCCACCACAATTCCTTTACTATGATGAATCCAGAGAGGCAAAGACCTGTAGGCCTAGTGCTGTCCTCTCCTGGCCCCGTGTATGGCCATGGGTATGCCTGGGGGCTCTGTGGGGAGGAGGGAGACCTGCACAGCAGGGCCACACAGTTCACCTCTCAGAACAAAGCTCCAGTGGCCTGAGCCATGCCTTGAACTTGCAATGGCACCTGGGGCCCATGTCAGACAGAAGAGCCCGATAATGGGGTTTGTTTCTGGACAAGGCAGAACTGGCAGGACATCCCACCTACTGTGGGCTGGTCCTGTCCTCTGCCAGATGCAGTCTCAGTCTGGGATGAAGGCCAAGGACCCCTGCTGGGGACTTCTGGAGACTTCTATCAGCACAGGGCTTCCTGCCTGAACAGGCCCAGCTGGAGGGCAGCAATTATGACCTTCCCCCCCCCCCCAACCTTCCCCCACTGGGCCTTGTGTGGGAGGGGCACACTCACGTCCACACCGGGCAGTCCTGGCAGCCCAGCCTCTCCTGGTTTCCCCAGCTTCCCTGGGGCCCCTTTTGGTCCCTATACAGGAAGAAAGGGTGGAGGAGTGAGGGGATCTAGCCCTGAGCTCTGGTCTTCAGGAAGTAAACATTTTCCTGTCAGCCATGCAAGGCAGTCCCTCTCCTCCAGAGGCCCAGCCCTCCCTATGTCCAGCAGACTCTGACTGGCTGTAGCCTGGCAGCCCTCCCAAGCTCAGGAAGGCTTCCCACCCCACTCCATGGTGATATCTGTAGGATGTCCACTGGGTCACTTTGGCCTTCCCAGCTGGACAAGACCAAACCCTGGGACCTCAACTCCCTAGAGCTAACAGAGGTAAGGGGCTTAACAGTAAGCTCTGGCTGTAGCAGGGGCGGAGGGGGAGGAGGAGGATTGCAGCACTGTATTGCCCCCTTCCCTGGCTTGCCTGGCACCAGCCCAAAGAAAGCTTCAAAGCCAGACCCTCTCCAGAGACACACTGAGTCCATACACTCCCCTCCTGCCTCAATCCTGGCTCAGGCCCCCGCTCCAAGTCCTCTGGGGCCTCTCCTCAGGCAACCCAGGGCCTAGCATGGTGGGACAGACGTCAATGACCTCTCTGTTCTGTGTCCACCCCCCTCCAGAATGGAAAAAGGTTGTCCCTTCCCCCACAGCCAGGGACACTCACCGGAGGCCCAGGCAGACCTGGAGGACCAGCTTCTCCCTGCAGAGGGAAGATGCCCACATGTGACCCCTCAAAATCAGGGATCCTCTGAAAACTGTGCCCCAGGGGAGCAGAGCAAGGGTAGCCTTCAAGTCAGACCCTGAGGCCAGGCCTAAGGAGACTAGATGGGGCTCCTATCCCGCTCATCCACCCCTCGGGGCACCCCTCTGGACCAGCACTTCGGAGATGGGTGACCTGGACAGAAGAGGCTTGGCCCATATGGCCCATGCTGCATCTGCAAACCACAGCCTCCCAGAAAGAATGGGAAGGTGTCATGGAGCCCTAGCCCTCCTGCCCCAACAGCTTCAGGAACCAGGCCTCGGACAGCTTCAAGCCCCTAGCTCCACCTGTTCTCAGGTAAAGTTCCCCAGACCCCCTAACCCTATCAATGACCTCCAGGTCTGAAATCCTTTAACTGAGACTTTGAGGTGGGGTTTCAGCCCTGCAGCAGAGAAGGGAGGCTGAGGACAGGTTGTGGGAGTTCTTGACACCACCTCTCCCAATTTTCCACTGCTCCCCTGGGGCCAATATATGCAGAACAGGCCCTGCGGGGAGCCCCTGCCTTTATGGAGGTGGCTAGCTGGGGGTTTCCACCCTGGGGGGGGCTCTCAGCTGCCTCCCCACACCTGGCCTGGGACACCCTCCAAGGATATCATTTTGGAACTGAGCTGGTCCTGGCCTCCCGCAATGCACAGGACCCATCCACCCAGGGCCATGTGCCTGGCACCCCATGGGCCAGACTGAGAACGCAGGAGCACAGGCCCACAGGGACCCAGAGATACACCTCAGTGCCACGATACTGGCCTCAGAACCTTCCATCAACAGCAACCTCCTTTGGGTCTGCCCATATCCCACAGTGCTGGCTGCAAGGTCCCAGTACAACTCTGGGAGGCGGCTTGGTTCCCTTCCCACCTGGCTGGAAACTCAGGGAGTCAGGAGGGAGCCCTCCCTCATCTGCCACCCAAACTCACATCAATGCCGTCCTTCCCTGGCTTCCCAGGTGGCCCTTGGGGGCCCGGAGGGCCAGGGGGTCCCACTTTCTGAAATGGAGAAGAGTCATTAAGGAGGGCCTCCCCTGCCTCCCCTGCCTCCCCTGCCTCCCAGGAGGTCCCCTAGTTTGGCTCTGGAGTCTGCTCTAGCAAGCGTCCTCTTCCCAAGTCTAGAGCAGCTCTGGGGCCTGTTAAAGGGGCTCACGACCCCTGCCTGCCTCAGTGACCCCCATGCTTCAGGTCTTGGAGTTTATCTGGTGTTAGCTGGGGTTGTACCACCCGGCAGGGAACCTCTGGAACAAAGGCCACATTGTGGTCCCAGACAGTAGTCTGCAGCGGCTGGACTTGGGGGCAGCTGGGCTCATCCAAGAGGTATCAGCGTTTATGGGGCTCAAGCACTGGTCAGTGGCTCTGCGCCCGTCAGCAGTACTGGCTGTGGATCGGGAGGCTGAGCAAGGTGTCCCAGAGTGCTCAGCATCCAGTTAGGCAGCCAGCAAGGGGGTAGCGGATGGGGCCAGGTTGTCCCCTCGCTGCCGGTTCACGTCGTTTGCAGCACCCCGACCCCCACCACCCGGCTCACCTGGGCCCCTGTGGCCGCCAGGAGCTGTCCCAGCAAGAGGAGTGCGAGCGTGGGTGCTCGGGCCATGGCTGCGCTTGCTCTGAGCGGTCGCGACGGGTCGGGCCAGCAGTGCGCGGGCGGGGTGGGGCGGGGCTGGAGGGGGCGGGCAGGTGGGGGCGGGGCCGCCGCGCACAAGCCCCCCATTCAGGCCCACCTGGGCGGGCGGGGGCAGTGGCGCCCAGCCGGCCAGCGTAAGTATTTTTTTTTGCCAGCCTCTTGAGTTAAAATTATCCCGGGACTGACGAGTCACACACACCGCACCTTTCAGCAAAGGAGAAAGCCTCTTTTCTCCGCTGTTCCTCAGCTCCATAGTGCGGGAAGGGCGGGGGTATCTGCGTAGAAGGGCTCCTTTCAGGAGGCTGCAGGAGGGGCAGACCTACTCTCTAGCGGCACACCCCTCCCCAGGACTGAAACCAGGACGACCCTAGGGAGCGTGAACCCCCTACACTGGGCCAGGCAGTGCCCAACACGGCCCTGGCTGCTGTGACTGGGCTGTCTGATACGCTGGCACATGCCCCGTGCCCAGGCCCCTACCCACAAACCCAGATTGTACCAAGTGGCCCGTTCACGCAAGCTGCCACAGCCACGGCCAGACTCTCACCCCAGATCCTGTCCCTGAAGACAGCAAAATGCAGACCCCAGCAGAGTAAAGAGGAGCATCACCACCGCTCTGAGCTACAGATGTGTCAAGGACAGCAATCGTCAGGCTGTGGTGGCCATTTCACCTCTCTCCAGCCAGGTCACCACATCTGGACAAGCTCCCACACTGTGTGGTGAGAGTGGCCACTAGCCAAGGGGGCTCATTGAAAGGGCAGAATTCCCCAAGAGGATTCAGAGGGTGCTGTTAGGAGCTTCATTCTGCAGGTAGAAACTTATAGCCTTTGAGATGACGGCAGTCCACAAATGAGTTGCCTGAAAGGAGACCCCCACCCTCACTAGCTGGAGGGACAAGCTCTCTCAAGCTCTCAGCTGGGAGGATAGGAGGGTAGGGCTCCATCCCTAGGGTCCTTTGAGCCAGTAAGAACCAAAGCACTGCCCAGCAGTTTGGGGATCACTAGGCACATACCTGTCCCCCAGGGCTGCTCCAGCAGGGTTGTGTCCCTGCAGCATGGAGTCTCCGTTGCACTCGAGCTGCACCAGTTTGTGTGGAGGACCCTGAGGTAACTGCAACTGAAGCCCTACTTCAGCTCAGTGCCTCTGTTTCCCTTCAGGGCAGAAACCCTGTCTCAGACAAAACCGAAGTTGAGGCACCGGGGCTGGGATCAGGTAATGTGAGGTGAGCCAGCTGCAGAAGGTGCCCCTCAGCCCCAGGGGAAATCAAGGTGGGAACAAACCACAGATGCAGTACTCAGAGCCATTGCTTTTGCTCTCAGAGATTCAGCCTCTCCAGAGCCCACGGTCTGCCCAGCTTCCCTCACGCCTTCCTTCAAGGCAAGTGTGTACCCTTGGAAGAGCCTTGAGTCAGGGACCCGCCTCTCAAAGGTTCCACGAAGCTCCTCCCCACATGTGGAGAAAGGCTGGCAACTTAGGGAGGGAGGGGATGCCATGGGGTGAGGTGGGGTGGTGCAGAGCCACACCAGGCCACAGGGAGGCTGGCTGGGTCTGCCTCCAAGGCCACCCAGCCCCAAATCAGGGCAAGTGGCAAGGCCTGGTTTAGATTCACAGTTCACTGAACCCGTGTGGAATTGTGGGTATGTCTCCCCACACCCACCCTGGAGAGGAAACAAAGGTAGCCTGGGGACCAACTATCCAGCCATCAGAGGCTCTGGGAGGCCTCACTCAGGACACATGTGCTTGCCTAGGGGACAGCTTGCCTGTGCCCAAGGGGCTGGGCAGTCAGGCTGGGTGGGCCCAGGGGCCTGGGCCGTTGCTCGGGGGGCCCCCCAGGTACTGCTCTGTTGCCATGGGGAAGAAACCATACTACTCCATCCCAGCCACCAAATGTGGCCTTGGTCCACATCAGAGACTCAAAGTCAAATGAGTTTATTCAGACAAAGCCTTGGTTGGCACCAGGCTAAGAAAATGAGCCCCTGCCACCCCCAGACCCTGAGGGTCAATATATAAAGATGGGGCAAAGGACAAGGAGTGGGAGGTGCAGCGAGACAGAGGCTTCTGGTGGCCTGGGCCTTCCCTGAGGCGGGGCCTCACTCCTGCTGGAGGCCACTATAGTGGCCACCAGGGAGAAGCCAGCATTGCTGGGCACCGAGGAGAGCCAGGGTCGGGTGCCCCAGGCCCGGACTCCGGCAGCAGACCAGACGCCAGCTGGCGCCCTGTCCCTTAAGGCTTTCCAGGGCTGGTGGAGAGCCCCACCTCGGATGCCTCTGGCACCTCAGCCCTCTCCTGGGCAGCAGGTCCTGCCGTAGGGTCTGGGCCCTGTGACGGGCTCCCAGGGGCAGCCTGCTCAGGCTGTGTCTGGCCTTCAGAATCCTCCTTGACCCCGTTTTCGACCTCTGTAGCCTCGTGGCACCCTGATGGAGCCAGTGCCTTGGTCTCCCTGCTGACCTCCACAGCACTGTCCCTGGCACCCTTGTCTACCTTCCTCCGCTTCCTCACCTTGTCAGTTGCCCTGGCCCCTGGGGGCTGGGGGCAGGGCTGGTGGGCCTCCCCAGGATCCTGGCTGCCCCTTTCCTGGGTCCCTGGCTCGAGGCTGCCCTGGCTGAGGGCGCACCCCTCCAGGTTCAGGGCGATCTTCTCCACCTCTGACACGCTCTCAGCACCCGCCTCCCCAGGGGCCTGCTCCCGCCGGCTCAACTCCAACTTTCTCTTCTTGCACTCTTTGGGGCTTGGGGGCTCTGGCCCATCTTCCCCAGTGCCTGCAGCCCCATCTTCCTGGCTCCCCTCCAGAGATCCCTCATCCTGGGGCTTCACACTCAATGGCTGGGGACTCTCAGGCACACTGTCTCCACTCCCCTCCCTCCCTGGTCCACAGGTCTGACCCTCGGTGCCAGCCTCGAGGAGGGTGTCCTGTGGACTGTCCTGCCCTTCTGCCTGCCTGGGACCTGCTGGCAGATGAGTTGGAGAACCGTGCTTGAACCTCTGCAGCTTGTCATGGGGCCCCCAAACGAATTTGCATCGGGGCCGGAAATGCTCCCAGGCGTAGTGCAGCAGCTGGCGACGCTGCTGACGGCAGCGCACAGCGAACACGAAGTAGTCCAGGGCGCTCTGCCGCACTCCTGGCAGCTCCTGCCGCACCAGTGTCTCCTCCAGGAAGAAGCGGACCAAGGGCACCTGGTAGTGCTCCAGGCCCAACTCACCCAGGGACTTGAGCATGCGTGTGATTCGCAGGTTGTTGTGGCTGTGCCTGTGGGGTTAGGCCAGCAGCTGTAGGCGCTAAGGCAAAGCTCCACTCTCACCCTCCAGGAGTTCCCTTTCCCACCGCCCTGCCCTGGGCCCAGGGGACTACCAGAGAACATGGCCTGAGGGACCTGGATGTGTGTGGGCTGGGGTCAGGTGCATCACCCAGAAGGGCGGTTGTCCCCTCCTCCAGGGCTTTCTGAGAGAAGTCAGCTGGAGGAGGGCCAGAGGGGCCCACTGTACCCTCATGCACAGACAAGTACTGCCCTGCTCCTCTGTGGAGCCCACATCTCTTTCACTGGCTTTCTTTAAACTCTCAACTCCCCATGAGGTTCCGACCACCCCCTTCCCCTGGTGAGGAGGTGTCCAGCTGCCCACAGCCTCACCAGTTCAGGTTCTGAAAGCGCCGCTGGTAGTTTTGGGCCCGGCACACAGCGCCTGTGTCTCGGTTCTGGAGTCGGATGCCATAGAAGTCCAGCATGAGTTCATAAGCCCTGACCAGCCGCTCTTGGACCTCCTGGGAGCTTTTGAAAGCCTGGAAAACAGGCCTGGAGAGCTCAGGGGGCCACGTTGCATGAGCCACCAACACTCCCTCAGGCCTAATTCCTCCAGAGGCCTGGACTCAGACTCTTAGGGAAAAGCAAGAGATGCTCCCAGAGCCCAGGGCAACTAGTCTGCCCAAATGTAAGTGGGTCTCCTGGGAGCCTGCTCCATGCACCACAAAATGCTCCCCAGCTTTCTGAGTCTCTCTCGTCCCTCCTGCCTGAGCCAAAACCAGGGGTGGCAAAGGCAAGTCTAGCCACCCTGAGGGCCTCTACCCCAGACCCCTAGCCATACGCAGCAGCTTCAGAAAGTCCCATTTCCTTAGACCTTTGGGAGGCCAGGACCACTCTGAGGGGAGATAGTCAGACGGGGGGGCACCAACCTCCTGTTGTCAGACACGGCCCATCCTGGATGGGGTGGCTTCTCTGGGCCTCCCTAAGACACAGCCAAGGACCAGATGGAGCTTACCTCGACCTCCTTGAGTGTGAGGGGCTTGGCGTGCCAGTTCACTCCTGGTTCCCGCAGAGGAAAAAGCCTGTGGGATGAGAGGCCGCACAGGGCCCTGAGTGACCAGATAGCAGCCCCTGGCTCCTGGGTACACACTTGCTGGGTGGTCTAGGGCAGCTCCCAGGCTTTCTAGGCTCCATGCTCAACTCTAGGAGGGGCTGGCCAGCCGTCCCTCAACAAAACAGGGGGCCCACGACAGGGAGGATGGGGATGATGGAACCCCAAGACAAGTTCTCAGCAGGACAGGAGGAAAGTCATGCCACAGCCAGGCGGACTTGCAGCCCGAGCTCAGAGCAGGCCCCTTCCATTCTTTCTCTCACTAATGCTAAGAATGACACACCATATACAAGGAGAGGTTGCCCAGGCACTCCCCAGAGGGCTGCCTTCAAAGCACAGTATGCAAGGCAGGGGCCTCCAAGGCAGCTGTGCCAGAATGTCACCCAAGCACACTGCAGGAGCCTGCTCAGCCACGGTCCAGCTCAGTAGCTCTGTCCTCCTATTGCAGGGACCTGTGTGCAGCCTCTCCTGTCCCCCAGGTCCTTTTAGCTCCCAGTTCAGAGGCTGTTCCCAAATGGAAAGCCATGGCCGAACAGGCCCCAGGTTCCTTCCATGGCCACCCACAGTGCTCAGGGATTCCCACTGTATTGTTGGACAGTGGCCTCTGGAAGGGATAGGGTGCTCAGCACACACCAGGAAGCAGTGTGGATGAGGGCTCCTGCCTGGGAGGGCCCTTTCCCCAGCCCCTCCCCTGCTCTATCTGACTCACCACTGGATGTAGGAGTGGTTGTCCTCGAGGAGGTCATAGTTGTCCTTCCAGTTCTGAAGAATGTCCTCAATGAAACAGCCTGGGAGCCCACGGGGACAAGTCAGCTGTGGGAGCCACCCTAACAGTGCTTGGGGGGACAGAACTTCCAACAGCTCCTTCCACACCTCCTCTAATGTGTGATCTGCCAACTTTGGGCACCTGGGCCCATGGCCCTGCTGGGGTCTGTAAACTGGCCCCTCATTGCTGACTGATGGCAAACCCCTCTGGAGGACCAGTGGTCCCACACCCTGGCCTATCCTACAGAAGGGGGGCCTCACTGCTTCCTGTAAAGCAAGGCCCATTGAGACTCAGAACTCAAACAAAGCTGCCAGCCAGACACAACTCCATGACAGGTCGAGAGCAGGTGCTTACTACTTCTGCAAAGAGCCAAGCCATATTTCAGGCTGTGCAGCCAGGGAAAGTGTGAAAATGGCCACAAATCTGTAAGTCAGTGGGTGTAGGTAGGTGCCTGTGACACTTAATATACTGACAATGAAATTTTAATTTCATATAATTTTCATGTCATAAAAAATTGTTCTACTTTAACTTTTTAAAATCAGTTAAAAATGTACAAAGCATGCCTTTGTGAGACAGTGGCATACTCAAACAGTTTTAACAAACACCTGCTGGCCTGAAAAGCCTCAAGTATTTACTTTCTGGTCCTTTTACAGACCCTATGGACCCCTGACCCAAACTTCACTGGTAAGACCCAGGGTTAGGGCCCTGGAGTCCCTCTGGCCACCCCAAGGGGGCACTGTGGGGCTACCTAAAAGCCATGGTCCCCTTGCCAGGTACATTCTCAACCAGAAGACAGGACTGCTGGCTGCTGAATGGCCACATACCGTTTGGCAGGAAGCGGATCTCATTTTTGTAGAAAGTCAGATTTGGCATATCACCATTGCAGTCTCGTTCCACCAAATCCTGAAGAGCCAGAGAAAGGGGATGATCAGGGAATCTGCAGCAGCAAGCTGCCTCCAAGGGTCCCTCAGAATAGCCTGCTCTGGGCAGGGGCACTGGCAAACCTCCAGGCCTCTGGGGCTCCTCACTCTGCAGCTACCTCTGACCCAAACCTTTCCCCACCATTCCAGTGATGGCCAGGCCTGGGAGGTCCCCTTCCCTCTGTACCCCAAAAGGAGCACAAGGTTTGAGATTCAGGGTACAGAGAGCTGAAAATAACCACCACCCTGAGGAGGTCACTGCAATTGGCTGGTGGTGTGGGACAGCTGCTAGCACTGGTTGGGGGAGCCTGTGTGCCAGTCATGTACCCACACACTTGCCTCTTGAGGCTGTTGCCATTACCATCGTTTTTTGAGTTTTTTTGCAGTTTTTGGCCAGGGCTGGGTTTGAACCTGCCACCTCTGGCATATGGGGCTGACGTCCTATTCCTTTGAGCCACTGGCATCACCCCACTGTTACCATATTTTAAAGACTAGGATGCAGACACTCAGAGCTAGGGCAACATACCCAATCACCTCATGGTCAGGGGAAGGGCAGGGATCTGAACCCACAAGGGCTTAGCCCAGAACTCCAGTCCCAGCTTAGGAGGCTTCTAGAAAGACTTGGAATGTTCTATTTGAGAAGAGGGGCTGCCAAGGGGCAGGGGTGCTGTGAGGGGCTGCAGGGACCATGGTGGTAGGTTACGTACCGGGTAGTGGTGCCGATACCTGCGCATATCCTGCAGGGCTCTCCAGTTTCGTGACCCTGTCATCCTGGACTGAGAAGAGAAGATACAGAATGAGGCCCACATGGGAGACTCCTCTCTGCTGGCCCCTGCCCTGGTCAGCAGTCACTAAGGAGTGGGGGTTTTCCATAGTTTCTACCTCTAATTCTCCTACCCTGGCTCTTTTTGGGGGGCAGACTTGGGCTCCAGTAAGGCACCCAGACACCTTTACAAGCCTGTCCCAGTCTCGCAGTGTGGCCCTGACTCCATCACTGCCCCAAGCCCCAGCTCTACGTCCTTGCCTCAGCCTATGATGTCTCCCCAGCTCCCCAACTCTCCCACGGCATCTCCCCTTGCTCAATGAACTGACTTGTCCTCCAGTTGTATATTACCAAGGGCAGCAGCCTCAGCACCCATAGCCCCAGGAGGGAATCACATGCCCTGATAAATGCAGTCTGATAAATTAATGAGCAAGGTGCAGAGAATGGCCTTTCCCGCTCCCATCCCCACCTCTCACTGGCCAGAGGCCCTGACCTCTAAGCTCCTGGCCTCCAGCCCTGGCTGGAGGGGCTCCTCGGTGTCTCCTAACTCCTTCAGCGGCCTCCATCTCTGCATGTCAGGCACCCCAGTGCCCAAGGAAGGACCAGAGACAAGTAGTGATGAAGATGCTGGAGCCCACCTTGTTATAGGGTGAGGAGCATGGGGCAAGGTTGAGACGGGGGGGTGGGGGGGGACACACAGCAGCAATGGTTGGAGTGGGGGCAGCTTGTTCGCAGAGATGGCTGGGTTCCAAGACCCAGGAGAAGCATGAAGGGGAGTTAGGAGGCCAGGTTAGGCACAGTGTGCCCAGCTTTGCCCCAGCTGGGGCTGGGAGTTGCTGCTCTGAACTATTTTTTTTTTTTTTTTATTGAATGGTAACTATGTACATTAATGCACTTCTGGGGTACAGTGTGGGGTTTTCACACACAAT